GGTACCGTAACGTTTTCATTTTTTTAGTACCGACTTGGTACCGAAATACCGGGTCTTTTGACAACACTAATACCCTAAAATGTATTACATACATCATGTGCACACAGATTTTTCTCCATGTCAAAATTCCTGTTATCCAACCTGTTAAAGTTTCTGTTTTTCCAGATTTTTGACATATTTGCTCGTTTGAGTGTGATTTTATGGCATCTGTGGCAGCTCAACTTTCGATGCATCCCTATTGCTCACAGGAACTGATTAGAATAGTATTTTCTTCATCAGGGACATTATGATACTAAAACAATAGATAAGAGTCACAGTCAGAGGGAAACAGAGGGGACAGATTAGAGAGAGAATGAGACTGTCATTCATACCTGAAAATTATTTATAGAAGAACATTCACAACTACATTCCAGATCCTTACAACACACACCTGAACTCACACTTACTTTACCACCAGGTCTCTCAACAAGATTAGATTAAAGGCATAAAAACTAAATCTGGATTATGAGGAATATGGCACAATAAAGCACACAGTACAGCTAAAAGCACTGAATAAAATGAGAAATCTCTAGTCTGAAACAGAGAGCTAAAGAGAGATGGAGGAAGTGAACGACTATGTCCAAACAGTGAACTCTACGGCTTGTCATTCAATCAAACCTGTTACACAACAGCCCCATGGGTAATTTAATTATGACTAAGCACATTAATATAAGTGTGTGCGAGAGAGAAAGCTCTCTTGATATTTTTGCAAAGCTGTTGAAGGTTTTTTTTTATTTTTTATAAATTATAATGCAAGTGAAGTGAACCAGTCCAGTCCTAGCTTCCAAAGCCAAAGAATCCCAGCATGCATCACTGCACCATCTGAAACAAGGTAATGAGCTCACATAAATATGTGCATGGTGAATCTGGATGGCACTTAACAGTTTAAGCCACAGAGGATAATGTCATCAGATTAGAGATTTGGGCTAAAGCGCACAAACACAAGCTAATGGTGTGGGTGTGATCAAACTCAGACTTTTAAGGTCAAAAGGGTTTCTGCAGGATTTTTAAGCTCAAATTTAAAACCTTTTTAAGACCTGCACAAATAAAATTAATACCATATGAGTGGGTTATGGCAATGTCTATAGTACCATATTAAACTGTAAAATTACTGTAAAAAGCACTGTAAAAAAAACTTGAAGTTCAGATACAAGTTTTCACAAAAACAAAAAGTTTTATAAAATGATAAACTTTACATTTCAGCCTTTAAACCATTTTTAGAGTCAAAAGTATTAATTATTATATTAATTATTAACAATTATTAACAATAAATTATTATATCAATTAAATAACAAATTAGGGGTTTGCGATATTGACAAAAAAATTATATCTCGATAATTTTCTGGGATCTTATCGATAACGCTATAGAGTGTGTTATTGTGCTGATATCTTATATCTAATTGTGCTGACAGCTGACTCCTGAATTTTTTTATATTCTCAAGGCTCCAAATTGCGACCATTTTGGTCGCATATGCTCCCGAAATTTAATCTGTGCGACCTCAAAATACCTTAAATGTGAAATTAAAACCGCCAGTAGGTGGCAGCAAGTCACTGTTAAGTGAGTCATTGCGATTGAACCGAATCTATTCATGGCTGAATCAAACGGTTGATTCATTCAGGAACGAAACACTGTCGTGTTGCTCAGAGACGCAAAACAGTGCTGTGGCTGTGTTTGGAATGATTTTTGTTGAAGAAATAGAGCTAAATATGGTGTCTAAAATGTAAGTCTCTTAATATTAACTTCTTGTTTATTGAACTGTTGTATAAAATTAATATTACATTTGTAATCATGTTGACTTCTGGAGAAAAAACGGCACTCTTTGTGTGATATTAACTATATGAAATTATATAAATATATACATTTTCTGCCCCATATCTTGAATTATGTGATAATTCTAAATGCATTTTAATAGACTGATTAATGCAGTGAAAGAATGCACTATAAATGCGCACGCGCACTAGTCTAACCTGCTAGACTTCATCAAGTAATGTATGCGCGCATTCTGTAGGTATTTTGTTTGCTTTTCGCAATATACTCGATAATATCAAATCGCATATCCTTAAAACAACAATTACGATATTATATCGCAGACCATATATATCACACACCCCTATACTGTTTAGATTTTTATAATGCATTGTCTTCTTATCGATCTACCAGTTCACATTTAAAGCTTGCAGAGTAAAAACATGGGTCGATTTTTGCATTGGTCTGAACTCCAATTCAGAATTGAATTGAACAGAATTCATTCTGACAGCAGGTGGAGCGTTTGGTAGAAATATAACTGTTTTCCCGGTAAAGGCAGAACACAAAGCAGTGCAGCACTGGACTTCGAACATGCAGCGCTCGTGTTTAATCAATTAAATCATAGCCCTTAGAAGTTTAATCTTCACATTCAGCCATATCGCAATTCTGGTCTTTCTGTCCCCAAATTTAAGACCTCTTGAAATCATAATTAAGACTTTCTTGTACAATTTAAGACTTTTTAAGGCCTTAAATTTGATACAACTAAATTTAAGACTTTTTAAGAC